CCGATGCTTCCAAGACCGGCGACTCCACCGCCACTGGCACCGACGCTTCTAAGACTGGTGACTCGACTGCCACCGGCACTGATGCTTCCAAGACCGGTGACTCGACTGCCACTGGCACCGACGCCTCTAAGACTGGCGAGTCTACTGTGACCGGCTCTACTACCCTCAGCACTGCTGCCAGCACCTCCAGCGATGGCTCCGGCTCCTCTGAGACCGGCTCCAACGGCAGCAGCACCACTGGCTCCAACGGCGGTTCCAACGGTGGCAGCGCAACTGAGACTGCTCCCTCCAGCACCTCGACCAACTCTGCCGCTTCCAAGACTGTCATGGGCAGCGGTGCCCTGGGTGCTCTCGCCCTTGCCGCTTTCTTCGTTCTCTAAACGCTTTATTAATGACTGACTGCCCCCTTGGATGAGCGATGGTGTTTATGATTCCCCGCCTTTCGCCTAATTTGTTATGCATCCTGTACTGTACATGTTTCTGTAACGGATTATTCGTTTACAACGGTAGATAATTAGTGACTACCCAGCTATAGCTGTGTCATGACGTACTAATTTGAATTGATCCATAATTTATATTTAAATGTTTCTCATGCGTGAATGCCAAGCGTAGCTTATCTTTTTTGAAATGTGGCCCAACTCACTTCAAGGCTCGTGATACTCAAACCTTAGATTGATTAGATCAGGGGCCATCCGGGTTAAGCAATTATGCTAACAACACGCTTGCCTCCTTCTGTCTTAAGTAGATGCCTTAGGTTTCAGGATGCATTGTTGTGGAAAACGCGCACGTGCACCCAATGGCACCGCTCCGCATGTGATTCCTTGGCGGTATGAAGTCAGATGACGGGGATGAGATTAATTCGACGTGGTGCAGCTGATAGAAAGAGAGGTCCTAAATTCGGCAGCCTGAGTAGTATATTGATTCAATGTGGACTTCCTGTCGTCCGTGACACACGCCTGGCCGCTTGGACAAAGCACACCGGAGTAATGGCAGTCAATGCGAGGTGACTTCAACCATTGGAGTTTGGCGCCCGTTCACCCGGCACCGTGGCCTGGTTGTCCTAGGAAGTTCAATATGGGGTAAATGGATGAATGCATATAAATATAGGAGGACGGGCCAAAGTAATGACTCGGATTTAGCGCTAAATATTGCTGTTACAATATACAAACTCCGTCGCATAGACAGACCGGTACCTGGCTAATACTCGGGATTGACATTCGCGATCAGTCGGTGTCGGAAGACCAGTTGACCCGCGCCGAGCCGAGGTCCAAGTCACGGGAAATATCCTATTCCGGTAATCGTCGGCCTCCTCCTATTGCTCGGCCTCGGCCGTTCTCCAGCTTTTTGACCTGTTTGGAGTTGTTTGTTCATTTCCCTCTGTTCAATTTCCTTCTGCCGGTGAGATTGTTTTTGCTGCCTTAATTTATTCGCGTTCCTTAAATTTCACCTCTCCTCTCCCTGAACCCCCGGCAACCCCGGTATTCTCTAATCCTCTACCTTCACGCTCGCCTTCTCTCTCCGCGGCCAGCTTTCCCCGCTCTCGGACCACCCCGCCACGATGTCCTCCGCCTCTTCTTCTACCCCGGAGACAATCCGGGACGACTTCAAGGTCGCAGAGGCCAAAGCCGTCAACCAGACTATTGCGCAGATTCGGTCTCTTGCCGCCGGTGCTGCCGGTGGTGTGTGCGCCGTCGTTGTCGGACACCCCTTTGACCTGGTGAAGGTCCGTCTACAGACTGCGGAGAAGGGAGTTTACTCCGGTGCAATTGATGTCGTGAAGAAGACGGTCGCCCGTGAGGGGCTTGTTCGCGTAAGTTGATAATTTGAATAAAATCTAAGCATCGTGTTAACCGGGTATAGGGATTGTATGCTGGTGTTTCGGCTCCTCTCGTGGGAGTCACTCCCATGTGTAAGTTTTCACCCAGATGACACATTTCAATTGATAGATTGCTGACTATCCACTAGTTGCTGTCAGCTTCTGGGTATGATAAAAGACCGCCGTGCCAATGTATAATGGGCTCTGACAATTTCATAGGGTTATGACGTGGGCAAGACGCTCGTTAGCAAGTTCTCCGAAGTGCGCGTGGAGAACAACACCCCTCAGTACACCATTGGCCAGATCTCCGCTGCCGGTTTCTTCTCCGCCATCCCCATGACCCTGATCACGGCTCCCTTTGAGCGAGTGAAGGTGCTCTTGCAGATCCAAGGCCAGAACCCGCCTCCCCCGGGCCAGAAGCCCAAATACTCCGGTGGATTGGATGTGGTTCGGCAATTGTACAAGGAGGGTGGCATCCGCAGTGTCTTCCGGGGAAGCGCAATGACCCTAGCCCGTGATGGTCCTGGATCAGCCGCCTACTTCGCTGCTTACGAGTACATCAAGCGCTCCCTGACACCCAAGGATGCGAACGGCAACGCCACCGGTCAGCTCTCCATGCCCGCTGTCCTGGCTGCTGGTGGTGCGGCTGGTATTGCCATGTGGATTCCCGTTTTCCCCGTCGACACCATCAAGTCGCGCTTGCAGAGTGCTCCCGGTAAGCCCACTATTGGCGGAACTATTCGCAGCGTCTACGCCAGCGGTGGTTTCAAGGCCTTCTTCCCTGGATTCGGCCCAGCTTTGGCCAGAGCTGTTCCCGCCAACGCCGCTACCTTGTATGTTCCCCTTTATACTACTGGCACGAGACAAATCCACTAACGGTTACCAGCGCGGGAGTTGAGCTTGCTCACAACTTCATGAAGAAGTTCTTCGACGACGAGTGAACCCGAGTTCAGTTGATTTAGCGATTTCTGGCAGGAAAAAAACCCCGGCTATGGTTTTGTAGATTTATTGTTCCCTTTGTCACAATTTGGCGTTCTTGTATCTTTTGTTTTGGTTAGATCTTTGAGCATTTAGCGCGCCTGGATATCCTGTTTCCAGAACTTAGACTTGATGTTTTCCTTGTTGTCTAGATTGGTCGAAATTTCAGCGATTTCGTCCGGTTCCAACATTACCATTATATGTCGCAAGAAGAGCGCTGGCCTGGATAATTTCACTAGAGTGCTATCAAAAACGGTTGCGAGACCCGTAATACTAGGGTTTTGCGTGTCAGGCTTCGGACCCCATGTTTATCCACTCGTTTCGCTTCATTTATATGATTTGGGTATATGGAGAGAAGGTCCCGAGGAAGGGTATGAGTAGTTGCCAAATAGAACCCAACGTGGCGGATAGCAAGCAGAAGCCTTCCGACGTTCTTGACGATGCAGGATGCAGGTTCAGTGTCGATGGTCCACCCATGTCTTTACATGACGTGTTGAATAGGCCAATGGAACCACGAGAACCGTTATACAACCAGTACAAACATAGGGAATCCTGTGATATGCATATATAGATTCAGGCTGTATTTCTGCCTACTCTGCTTACATATTGGTCGAAATATCAGGAATAGGGACCGTGGCCTTCCCATGACTTTTAGTACGTACCATCATAGAAGCCCATCTTCGTGTAGAGACTGGTAGGAAATATTCCATACAAATAAGATTTAGGGTTAGAGTATGCTTGGTATAAACCTAGACTACTAGAGATCTTCTGAGTAGCCAGTTTAATTGTACAGTCAGCCACTGGGCAGAATCGAGAACTAGGCAATGGCAAGTGTTAAAGTACTCTGCACTGAGGTAAGGGAGATTGAGTGAGTAGTAGTGGGGTACCACCCTCTCTCAGGTCACGCGACAGTCGATTTCCATAGGGCAGATCAATCAGACAGAGTAGTAGCGGTGTGACGATCTACATCCGCTTTACAATATACAGTTTTGTATAGTACACCGCATTAATGAGCAACCTGACTCTCATCTATTGCCAAAAGTCTAAAGTCTGAAGTTGGCTGAGTTATAAGCGTTTAAAAATGGTTAGTTTTTGAAGATTGTGCGCGAAAATTGAAAAAAATGCGCCAAAAACTGAAGATCATTTTGCGTACGCTAAATATAAGAACTACGTACTAATATGGCGGACTAAATCGATCGGATTTTCGGATTTCTTACCGAAATCTTAGCGTTCTATACAAAGCCACGGCCACCACTCACCTTCTAAGGATTTATCCCATAGCAGATCGTAATTTCCGAGACTTGCCTCCATTCTAGCCTATCGGCGAGCCTTATCACAATTGCAGCTCTCAGAACTAGCGAAAACGGCTAGGGAAACATTATTGTGACTCCACCCCTGTAAACGAGGGAAAGACCTTCATCTATTAAAAGGTTGTAAAGCCACCGGTGCTGAAATCAAGTTTATTCAGTTCAAAACTTACAGCGACCATTACCTCTCGAAATAACAGTCTACGCGATGACCGTCATGGATGCGACAAGGAGTACAGAAGACCATGAGGCTGCTGTCCTCCGAGAGCTTAGTCCAACACCATACGCATGTTCTTCGATCGAAAGGCTGAGCGGAGGGGTGATGAATACTACTTACAAAGGCCATCTTCTGCGGCCGCTTTCCGATGGCGCGACGACGATTGTCATCAAGATCGGTGAGGAGGAGAGCGCCATGTTACCCGGGATGAAGTTCTCGACAGCAAGATGCGTAAGCTTGATACCCTAAGCTCGTTCCAAACGTGGAAATTACCTGCATGCTTGCTGACCGATAGTCAATAGGTCGCAGAACAGGCCATGCTACAACATATGGGAGACCAGCCCCATGTCGTTGATCCAGAGACGCATATCTCTGTGCGGTCCCCCAATTTGTACCACTACTTCTCGAAGAGCAATACGCAGGTTATGGAGGATATTAAAGATAGCCAATCCCTTGATGATTTATTGCATTCTCCAGTCGCCGCGAAAATGACCACGGCAACTGCGAAAGCTTTAGGGGAGAGTCTTGGCGTCTGGATCTCATACTTCCATTCGACGTGTCAGAGCCGTATCAACGCAGAACTCTCGGAGATCATCAGGCGCAATAGTGATGATATAGCCCAACGCGGGGAAATGACCAAGCGTAAAGCTTTGGACACTGCGCACCTAACAGAGCCAGCCAGATCATATACGCTGAAGGAGATGGACGTCGGCTGCACACCAGAGGACATTGTCCTTCACGGAGATTTCACCATAAGAAAGTAAGCTCCTTCGTTTCCTTGGCTGTTGCCGACCGCTGACGAAAACGCTGGGGGAAGTGTCCTAATCAAGGATTCATGTCTTCATATCGTAGATTGGGAATTGTGTCGGTATGGGGACCGCACCCAGGATATCTGTTCCATGATCTCTCAATTGTACATGTCCTTCCACTTCCATAAACTAGATGCCGCCATGACGATGCTGCAAGCGTTTCTCAGCAGATATAGTCCCATGACTGAAGAGCTTGCTTACCGCATTGTTCTTATGACCGGAATTTATTTCTTCTGGGTAAGGCTTTATATCCCTGAACCAGAGGCGGACGTGGCGCAGCTTCTGCGACTTGCGGCAGACCTAATTGTGATGGGAGCCGAAAGAGATCGCAAGAGAATTGCTGAAACCTTCCTTGGTTGCTTATTTACAAATCTGTGAATACTCTGCCATGGCCACTTCGATGCAATGATTTTTTAGTGTTTCCTTTCCTTTCCTTTTCTTTTCTCCATTTCGGTTAGATCTTTAATGAACATTATGCTCTATGTAAATATGAACTGTATGCCGACTGAGGAACTGAATCTTCAAAAGAACCTTCAGACGCGCATTTCACTATTTTCAGTATTTATACCACTGGAGTCCTGCTGGCATCAGATTCGAAATCTCATTCAAAGAGAAAAGAAAACAAGAAAATTGACCCACCAAAAAGCTGTTGCCCGAATAGCATCAAGAGATACCCCTGGTTACCGGGTTTGTTTACAGTTGCAGTTGCGGTATAGAAGAGGACTTCGCAGGTGATGATGGTTGCCTATATCTCTCTACCCTATATATATCCCGCTCTTGGTGTCCACCGTCTAGAAGCAATAGACTGCGAAAGGAACTGAGTATCAAATGTAAGCATCAATGTCAATCAACACCAGAAATTCGAGTGCCAGTCTAGATGTAAAGAGGATGGCCCATGATTGGGCCAGCGATGGACAGTATTCACGTGACGGGATATCGGGGTTGCTCTGCGGGAAACAGTCCATCGATCCTCAATCAACAAATATCGCTCGCGCAATTCAAAGCAGCAATCCCCTCAACTCTCACCGATACCCACGTCTAATTGCATACAATACCGTCGAACTTGCGACCACCACCCGAACTCTGCCAAAACCCCCACCAATGCTGTAACCCACATACAACAACCGACCGCCGAACTCGAAAATGAACACCGAATTCCAGACCTCCCTCTCCAACCTCGAAAACAAGCTCAATGCCCTCATCACCAGTCTCACGACCTCCCCCACAGCAGCCGGCGCCCCGGCAGCAGCAGTCGGCCTCCTAGATGCAGACGACTCGCTCACCTCCGCGATCGCAACCCTCCGCCAACACCAGGACAACTACGCCCGGATCCTGCGCCTCCGCGCGGAAGCGGCCTCGCTGGAAGAAAAAGTCAAAGGCATTGTGAAAACAGTCGTGAACTACGAGAAGGAAATCCGCACAGTCTGCAACTCCGACGAGATCGACAGCGACTCCGACTTCGACTCCGACAGCTCCGCCTACGACAGCGATGCCGAGATGCAAGATGCGACTGATAAGCCGCGGAAGCTACGACGTATCAACGAAGTGGATTATAAGCTCTTGCTTGATTTCGCGCGCCGCATAAGCAAGTATAACCACCAGGCGGCTGCGGATGCGGAGGCCGGGGCGAAAGCGCGGGTCCAGCAGGGGGACCATGATACGGAGATGACGGGGACGGGGACGAACGGGCTGGAGGATGGGGAAGCGGCGCCGGTGTCGAGTGTTACGAAGGATGCGACGTCCTGGCTGGACGAGTCGGCCAATATGACGCGCCAGGTGTATATGTTGCCTTATCCGATGGAGGATCGCATTCGGCTGGGGCTGATGGGGCAAATTCAGCTGGCTGCCGGTGAGGGACGGCCCGGGTTTGATCCTGATCAGGAGGTCGAGCGGTTGATTCGCGAGGCGGAGGGATTTGGGGCTGCGGATGCGCCGCCGGTTGCGAACGTGGGCGATGAGCAGAGTCGCGTGGGCGAGGCTGCGAGGGCGGCTGCGAAGGCTGGGTCTGCTGCCGCCGCCGGCAGTGGTGGAGTGTCGGCTGCTGCGCCGAAGCCGAAGCCGAAGGCTACCCTTGATTTGGATCTGGATGACGATGACGATGAGGATGATTTCTGAGAGTTGGCCTGAATATGCTTTTTTAAATATATTATCTTGGCGGATTTGATGTACGCGCGCTTGATACCATGCATTCGGTCACGGCATTTTTGGAGTACATTGCTTTTATGACACACTTGATGACAAGAATAAACAACGACTACAGGACAGCGTTTACTCATTCTAGATCTATTATCTGTGCCACTGAGGTGCCACTGGTGAGATATCACGGTGTATGAACGAAAATTCGTTTATATGTGACGCGAAGCATAGATAGATCTAGACTTCGCCTAAAGTCAGATACGCAATAGCAACGAGAGCCTCAAACACACACTCTTCGACGATGCAGTTGCAATACCTATTACCCCAAGGTAAACCTACTAATTATCCTACCATATTACCACAATATAACCTCAATAACCGAGAATATCCAGGACGCATCCCGGATTTCCCGACAAAACCGGACGGAATACAACCTACAGTCCCCGCACGGTTAAATGGTGAGATAACCATAGTATCGGAGGTGTGCGACTGGAAGCGTCCGTCGGATCCCAGCGTCTCCCATCGCCGGCTCGAGCGTCGGCAGAGGCCGATGGTCAATATCCAAGGCGCCAAGCGGTCATTCTGCATGACATTTATATCTGAGTAGAGTGCGGGGTAGAAGGTATTGTTGATAAGTTCTTGGTTACGGATTGATGGATACTAATGGCCATTTCCTCTGACTCTGACCGAAGTCTAGAGAGCGAATTTCCTTTCTAATCTTGAGTCGGTATAGTTTAAACGATATACGATAACTATGGTCCAAAGAAGGAAGCATATAGCCCAACTAAATAGGTCTGAATCATCCGATATAGAGTAAGATACAGAATCGTGACTACCTAGCATATTATCTTGTTCGCTATCTATAACAAGTTGTATTTCATGGGCTGGTCTGTGTTGTTGGCACTTATTTTCCTACGAAGTGACTTCGAAACATGTTTGTTATGTAGCTCATTTGGATGTCTGATTAGGATAATGAAGCCAATCAAGTTCACGGCGATAGTCCCAGATCTGGTTTGTATTAAGCCTCTAGAATCTTTAGACTACTAACTAGTGTCACTGGCGAACAAGTGAGCAGCAAGCTTTATCATGGCAACCTTATTCAAGCGATGCTATAAAAGTACCGTGAAGCTAACCCAAACAGCAAGATAGCTTAATTTCTTAGCAAGGTCATAAGCTTAAAAATAGTCTGAATAGTATCTCTGAGATCTATACATTCCCAAGCGCATGATTTCCCAACAAGATAGGCTCGTGTTTCGCAGCGCTGTCAGGTATCTGTCAATGATAGCCGACACAACCAGTTCCTAGTTTCTATCACCTACAAGCAACTAAAGCATACCAACTCCTCCCAGTAAACAATTATTTTCAGGCTGCGCGATGGCAAATACTCAGAGTTCCACATAACAGCTACGCCATGAGTCACGATGTGGGGAAAGAGATCGGCGTTGGTTTTTTTTGTTTTTTTTTCGTGGCGCCTATTTATGCTGTGGCTGTGTTCGAGACAAGATCTGTACATCATGTACGCAAGGCTACCAGCACACTACCTACCCATATGAATGTAGGTAGTACATATTAGCGCCACACCTCTTCCAGTCGCAGGGAATGTCAGTAGTGACATCTCCTGACATCCCCTCCACGCTCCAGCATCACCAGCATCACCAGCATCAACAGATTCAACACAAACGTTATCCACCATGGCCGAGCAATTCAACTGGACCGCCCCAAATCTAAACCAGCACCACTTCATCTCCTTTGCGAATCTACTCGCACTCCGAAACGGGGGACAGGTTGAACCAGCCTGGTCACTCCATGATTCTGAAGAAGAAGAAAGAGATGAAGAAGACGAAACCAACCCCGACACCGCCAGCAGTGTCAACACAAACCAAGTCCAGCAGATCTCGGACTCCGGGTATGACAAACTGAAACGAAAGTTTCTGGATTGTGTGGCAGAGCTAGCTGCTAACGACAAAGGGGCGAGGTTTGTGGCGTGCTCTGCGATGAGAGAGGGCGAGGATGAGGTGACGGTGTGGATTAGTCGGAATGAAGGGTTTCGGGAGGTTGATCATGTTGCGTTCGCGAGAGTGGGTGGTTTGCTTGGGGGGTTGGGGTCTGTGGATCCGGGTGAGTGTCGAGTGCTTTTTTGCTGGAATGGTGATTGATGGGTCGGGTTACCGACATGGTGTAGGAAATCGATGTGCTGAGGAACTGTGGACCGAGATGTTGACATACTACCGTGCTCGGCTTGAGAGCACGTATATCCCGAGCCTGAGGTCGACCTTGAAGGATTGCGAACAGCTCTTTCATGACGATAAACATGACGAATTCGTCCCAGCTCGTCAGCGCCTACAGGCATTCCACCAATTGGTCTTCGACGGGAATAGCCCTGGCCAAGCCGTGACAGACAGACACAGCGTCCTCATCGTAAAGGCATACGAGCTACGGATGATGAAGCCCGTCCGAGAACTCCTCCACACCTCCCATCACAGCACACCCCGAACGAAGAAACTATGGGAAAGCATCTGCTTCCTCGGCCGACTACGGGTCGCCTTCGAAACATTCCAAGATATCGCCCTCAACCTCCCAAGTTTCAAGAAAGTAACCATAATCCTCATACCTCGCGACATCGCCACGCAAAAGGCCCTACAACGCCCCCTCAACCTAGACCAGACATTCAATCTCCTCGACGTGCCTTTAGACCCATCGATGGTCAAGAAGGTAATAGGCCAGAAATGGACCGTTCCCAAAGCAAAAGCCAGTTTCGGGGATTTACAGAAACATAAGCTGAACGTACACGCCGAGGTCCAAATGGTCCTTTATCTTAGTAAGATTGGACAAACGTTCGAGCGGCTGTTCCCGTATTTTGGCTGTAGCAAGTACAGCTGTTTCATGTGTTGGCATTTCTTGCAGGCGCATAGCAAGATCAGAACTAGGGGCTGTCATGGTCGGTTGTTTAAGCCGTGGTCTGTTCCTGAGGTATCGGGGATGACACCTGGGAGCCCGGAGAAAATATCACATGCGCTTATACAGCTACAGAGACGTCTGAGGAAGGAGTTAAAGGCTGAGATTAAGAAGGGGATTAGCCAAGAGAAGACGTCTGTCGTTGGTGGAAGCAGCGTTTTCACCACCCAGGACCCTAGCAGTGCGCGAAGGAAGGCTGGGATAGAGCGGACGAGGATGAGAGCTGAGCAGGCCCGAGTTACTGAGCTTTTCAGAAGGTAAGAAGCCAAGTGACGATATATTCGGAGAAATCGGAAAATAACATGATTGCAGGTGGTCACTGGAAGAAGAAGCATCGAAATATCAGGGTTCACGCTTGAACGTTCAGCCAAACGCTGGTAATGCCACACGTAGCCATGCAGAGTATCGCGGTGAATGCTATACTTGCTCCGGAGATACATCACGGAGATGCAGTCTATGCCAGAAGGACTTCTACTGCAGCCAGTTGTGCGAAGACAAGCGATCCGGAAGGCATCTTTTCACATGCACGAAACGCCCCTTAACATCTGCGGACTTCCTATACAGAAACATCGAAAAAGACCGGCTGCCTGAAGAAGAGGAAGTCTGCTCAGACTTCGGCTTCAATTACTTCGACTCATTTGCAGACAAGAGTAAGCTCTTGGGCCTTTACAAAGGCCTGTGGCTAGCTGAGATCCCGGTTGAGGATATCAACAAGTGGCAAGTTGAAGGCTCCCTTGTTGCCAACATCAAAGAACACTTTTACCAGATTCCTGAGCGATACCGAGGCGGATACTTTCCCTGGTTTCTAGAGCATACCCAATGCCTGGACAAGCCGATAACAGAAGAAGAGGCAGCGCAGAGAACTGTAGCCACATTCTTCGACAAAGCACGCTCTTACTTAGACAAAGAAGACCAGTACAAGCACTACAAACAGCTCGAACCAGAAGCCAAGCGGGACTGCTTCTACATGCTCGCCCAAACTCTACACATGGCCAACCCCGACCCGATCGAAACCAACTGGTTCAATTTCGGCTTTTGCACCTGTGACGACGAATACAAAGAAAGGAGCCTCGGGGGCCTGTACCAAAGACTACTCGTCGGCGACAAACTATACGACGATGTCCCAACCCGCATGCCGCGAATGAAAGATGTACAAACAGCCACATTCACGGAGTTCTGGAAGGCCTATGAATTAGGGACAATGATCCAGCTAATGGACTCGAAGGGCCTTGGACGCGCGCGGTTTCAGTTCCCCTTTCTGGAAGAGTTCTTCTCCAGTCCGCCCTGTGGGCCGCATCTGTCTGTCTGGTCGCTGAAGCAATTCCTGGCTATTAATAACCCAGCTGAGTTCCCGCCCATTCCTGCGATCAGCGTGGACTACGGATTCGGAAACTGTGAGACATTCACGGAAACGTGCACCTTGATGGAAATTTACAGGAGACTGCTGGGTGATGCTAGTCCGCTGGATCTCCACGGGGCGTGTATTGCTGGGAAGCTGTTTGAGTTTGCGGAGCGTTTTCACAAGATGGATCAGTCGCATAGGAGGTTGATGAAGAACTTTTATCCCTTACCTGAGCTTTGAGTGAAGACACCGATCGGAATGGAGTTAGGGCTGGGAGAGATTTGCAGCCCCTGTGTCAGATCTACCGACTAGTTTAGAAACATCCACTGGTCGGCACATTAACGATGCATGATTACCCAACCTGCTGATTAATTAAGGGGAATTTTCTTAGCCCTGAAGCACTAATAACACTATGAACGAGCCAGCCTGGCAGCAATTGATTTACAGTCCTCGATGTGGACCCCGAGGCCAGTTGACATCGGGGAGAAAACCGAGCAAGGCAACCAACATCCAGCGAGGGAAAAAAAAAAAAGTCCACGAATCAAGCGAAATATGGTCGCATGTCATACAAATGGCCCCAAGTCCCACTTTTAGACTGTGTAGATCATCGGAAATTAGCAATACTCAAAAGACTCAAAATGAGATAAGTCGGTGGAAGGTCCTGGAGATAAATTGGTCCGTCCTCGGAGCATCTTCGGAAAATTTCTCCTTGGTGCAGGGAATTAAAGAACGTGCGTGCCCAAAATGTGAGATTGGAATTAATTGCGTCTGTGCCGCGGAAATTTGATATCTCGGGCGAGAAGTTGGTTCTAGATGTATGGCCGTGGCTTTCTGCATATTTTGCCTTTGGGGTTCTAGGTTTGACGGGTCAGACAGTTGAGGAAGTCTGGACGACTCGGTCACCACGAAAAGGGTCCTGATTGTCGTGTGGCGTAGGTAAAAAGGGAGCGGTTGGGGGTGATGTGCAATGGATTGATACTAAATGGGCTCATTAATTGTTCGTATTATAATCTACAGTCGTGATGTCTCGGTCCCAGTGAGCCAGACAAATGCTTCGAAGGGCTTGATGGTAACCGTTGTTTGAAGTAAGGAGTGACTCGTTCGGCCAGGGTAACTAGAGAGGGCGACATCTCCGGCGGAGTTGAAGGCTTTTTCCGGGACAGACCAGGTTACTTCGTGCGGGCGAAAGTTGGTCACTATAACAGCTCGGCCACAAGAGGCTGTTCGAGCGTAGACGAATAAGTCCGGATGCTCGGGAGATAGAAGCTCAAACGACCCATATACTAAGACACCGGGGTACGCTTTCCGTAGTCGTAGCACACTAGCCCAGTAGTGGTACACACTCTCCTTATCGTTGACTTGGTCTACTGCGTTGAGACCCTCATAGTTATCGTGAACGGGAAGCCACGGTCGAACGGACGAGAAGCCAGCGTTGGGAGAATCGTCCCACTGCATGGGCGTCCGTGCATTATCCCTCGACTTTAATCTGTATTCCGCAAGACAGGCCTCGTGTAGTGGGGTGTTTTGTGGAGCGTTGGTGGTGATCCTGACCCTCGTTAGCCCGTGCTGTATGCGAAACGATTACGATCAATGCGCTTACTCATTCCAATGGTTTAACGTTTCAATGTCCCGATACTGGTCGATTCCCCAATGTTTGGGCACGTTGGGCATTCCCAGCTCTTGGCCTTGGTAGATGAACAGAGTCCCGCTCTGAAAGCCCAGGAAAGTAGCCAGCATCTTGGCCGACGGCACCCGATACTCGGGCTCATCGGAGCCAAATCGGGAGACGATTCGTGGCTGGTCGTGGTTTTCGAGGTATAATGTATTCCAGCCGTTGTTCTCGTACATGAATGTTTGCCATCTCGACACGATGGTTTTCAGCTCATGTAGTTCCCATTTTCTAGACGTAAACTTGCCGCCTGGTCCGTGGTCGAGGGAAACCCTGGACTCGATGTTAGCTCATATAAAATATGCCTAGACAATAATAGTGACATACGTCTCAAAATGAAAGACCATGCTCAATTCATTACGATCGTTCCCGACGCTTCTAAGCATCTCGTTAAGGTCGTAGACTTCTGGCATCTCACCCACTGAAAAAGCATCGTATTGTTTCAAAATCTTACCAATACCTTGAAGGTATTCGTGGAGCCTGGGGCCGCATGCGAAATGTTTCGTTCCATCTTGCCACGGCGAGTCTGGGTTCGTTATCTCGGCATTAGGAAAGTTCTGATCTTTGCTGATAAGGTTAATGGCATCCATTCGAAAACCATCGGCGCCCTTATTAAGCCAGTAGCGGATGATGTCGTGCACTGCCGCGCGAACGTAAGGGTTCTCCCAATTCAGATCTGGCTGTTCTTTGGCGAATAGATGCAAGTAGTATTCACCAGACAGTTCATCGTATTCCCAGACACTTCCTGTAGAACGTGAGGACGGGAGTATCAGGACTTGGCATAACACCATACATACCCCCGAAGTAAGACTTCCAATTATTCGGTGGCTGAGGCTTTCCATCTTCTCCATATATAGGTTTCCTCCAAATATACCAGTCACGGTAGGGATTGGCTTTGGATGAACGCGCTTCTTGGAACCAGCGGTGCTAGACACATGTTGTTAGTATTGTCTTTGGCCGTGATACAGGGGTAGCCAACCTGGTCTGACGTATGGTTTACTACTAAATCCAGGACCAACTTCATCCCCCGCTCGTGAATCGCAGCTGTTAATTGATCCAGGTCTTCCACCGTCCCATAGGGCCGATAAATATTATAGTAGTCACTAATGTCGTATCCCATATCAACCTGGGGAGAGCAGAAGATCGGATTCAGCCATAATATGTCGGCCCCTAGACTTTTGATATAATCTAGCTTCGATAAGATACCCTGTAAATCTCCGATCCCGTCTCCATCGGAGTCCTTGAAAGATGCTGGGTAGACTTGGTATACTGTGCTCTCTTTCCACCACTTCTTGATGTTTTTCTGCACCGGGCTGGATGATTCTGACCTGGTGCCAGAGGTGACTGAAGAAGGCATGACCGGCTCAGTACAGCTCAGAACGATTGAGCTGAAAGTAGCAGAAAAATAGCTGGGAACAAAATATAGCTAGCAGTAAGAGTTTTATACGTTCATATGGTCGTTATAAATACGCAGGTGATATGAAACCATGACAGTATGGTAATGTGCCTCCTCGCCCCTCCCTGAAGCAAGCCGATAAAGACCCGTGGAGGTTGCATATCCCCTGTGGTCACGGACATACTCCATAGGTGGATCTCTGTCGGCAGATAAATTCCACCAACACCCGAATGACGTGCGACGCAGCCGATTCTATTCGTCTGTTGAGCGCAAATCATCGAGCTTTCACATAGGGCTAGGCGCGCGCCGATCCACAATCCTAGTGTGAGAGCCAGATGGAGTCTGATAGGCTCCATCTGGTGAGATTCCCGTTACTGAAAATGGGGATGTTTGCCCGTTGTTCTGAGACGTTGGAGGCTTTAGAGTAGCGCGTGAAACAGTTTGGTTTAGCGACGGGCTTTTTTCGGAGAGATGCAAACCTTGGCCTCGACTGGACAACTTTCTTGGCGCATTTTTTGCCCCAACAGGAAGCTGAACATCGTCACTGGGCAGCCGATCCTTCTTATACCCCTTCAGGAAGGTCATCCATGCGGGTCTATTACCTATCAGATACTACTCAAGAATGCTTGTAGAGTTCGCAGGACTGCTCAAGGGGACGTGCGTTTTTCTTAGCATATCAATAATTGATACGGCTAAGATCGGTTAGCCGAGGCCGTTGCAGGTGAAAAGGTAAAAATGTACGACGAAAGGTTACATTATGGCGATGTGGATGACAGGCAAACCCTCGGCCGAAGCAAAATATAAGCCTTCTGTCAGAGTACGGTAAGTTTTCACCCAGTCCGACAACTCCTGTAACAGTTTCTGAGCGTTTCCCCCTTGATTTGAGTTGATGTGATCAACAGCCACTACCTACGTAGTGTCAGCCCCCCTGGCCTGGTACGCATCCACTGTTGCATAACCCAGATGGTTGGGAAGACAGATCTTATTGGGTTGTCGTAGGGATAGGGGGAGACATGGAACAGAAGAAAGCAGAATAATAAAAATAACAGTCAGGGGCATAGGCTAAAGACGTGTATTGTGCCTCTATCGTTTTTGAGTATGATGATAGGCGACACCATGCAGTGGAGGCTGGTGGAGGCTGTCCAGAAGCCGTGCCGCCAAAAAAAGCACGCAAAAAATAATAAAAATAATAATAATAAAAAGGAGGATGGGTCCAGACTAGTTGTGGAACCCACTGTCCGAATCTCATCAGAAAGAAAACTCTTCTCGTAGAATGAACAGCTGAATATCCATGATAGATCTGGAATGAGCACCCTTGACATAAAAAAAAAGGAGTCTGCAGATATTCAACTATATATCGGGGAAAGCCGCCATATATTAGGTGCAATTATAACCTAGAATAGTCGAAGAATCAATGCAATCCAACGGGGACCTCAGTCCTCAGACGGGCCGTCCCGATAACAGCTCCAGTAGCGTGGGAGTTCTGCACTCTTCAAGCATACCCCCAAGCCGTAACCCATCGTTCCACAGGGAGCACAAGGCATGCTTCTGAGGACAGTAATACCAATGGTGGTCTCGGTGCGAGGTTGTGCTACTAATTATAAGTATATTAGAATGATTATATGGCGATCGTTGGGCCAGTGATGCTGAGCGAAGACTAGTAGTTATGTATTCGACATCCGCGGCGGTAACCGGAAATCGAATTTCAAGATGTAGATCGATGGAGACTGCGCTTCCCGAACTTAGTCCGTATGCCAGCTAAGCAGAGGCACAATCGTGTGGATCGCTGCCTTAGGCATAAATGCTCTCTATGATGGTGAGGGAAGACTTGGGTTTATCTTTGGGCCCATGAGGCTTGCAGCTTCTGAATCCGAACGCTCGTCTCCCATCCAAGATCCGCCTCGATCCCACGTAGTAAATCAACAACTATTTGGCGCTCCTCAGGATTTTCGAAGCATTGGCCGACCGCAAACAAAAGCGGTATCGTGTAAACACGTGCGGCACTCCGAGGACGACCGAGTGCAATGCCACAGATTTCCCGGCCACGGTATTCGGTCTCTTTCATCAATTCCCGGTACCCTTGTAGGCGGTCAAAGGCAGTGCTGGGCCCGCTGACGGCATCCGGTGGCCTGTTCAGAGATAATGCAAGGCGTCCAAAGTGGTACTGCTGCATTG